TGTCTCGATGTCAGAATACTCAAGGAGTTGAAAAAATTGTTCAAGATACGAATACAAGTACAAAATAAATTACACAAGTGGGTAATAAACTGGATAAACAAATGAAAATCTAAAGGTACTAAAAAGACATTCAAATAATCTAATAGAACATTCTTTTACTTAAAATGTATTGTAGAAACATGCACGAGCAATACATTCGAAATTAGACTGTTTACTATGAAGGTATAACAGTGCAATACATATAATTTTGTACATTGATATATAATTAAAAGAAAATAATTATTCTCATATTTACAATCAGGCATACAGTTTGGAATATTATGACACTCCCAGTGGAGAGAACGAAGCAGAGTTGTCTTTTACACCACCAATTCGTGGTGTCACTGAGTTAAAAATTATACCTGAATTATGGGAAAAAGCAATTGCCGTACGAGCTCAACTGTATGGGTGTGCACAGTGTAAGTTTGTCAAACTTTACTTTTAAACATTACAATCTTTATTTTTATTTCATAGTAATAACACTAAAGATAACAAAGTGTTATGCAATAGTACCGATCAATAATTTATTTTTGTATAACAATACTATGCAGCAAAATGTAAATATCTTATTTAATGATGTTATTATTTTTCGTAACTGTCGATTGTCTATAGGCCCTAACATTTTGCATTGTAACTTTGACTTTAGTTTTCACAACGACTACTGAACAACCAACCACTACCACTGAACAACCAACCACCACTGAACAACCAACCACCACTGAACAACCAACCACTACTGAACAACCAACCACCAAGGAATCAACCACAACTGAAAAATCAACCACTGCATTTTATCCACCAACCACAGGAAAAAGTAAGTTGATACCTTGATTTGATTTTGTTTATTGCTGCATAGTGTAAACTACAATCATAATACTTACATCACATTTATCTTGCAATTCGTAAGAGGCAATGGTAAGTTTGTAACAAATTTTGTTGTAATTTTGGCTTCAGGGAAGGAAGATAACCAAACAACTACATCAAGAGTATTCACTCCACCACCGCCGTCTACAACTGCTGAACAACCAACGACCACTGAACAACCAACGACCACTGAACAACCAACGACTACTGAACAACCAACTACTACAGAACAACCAACTACTACAGAAAGTAAGTTAAACACAACATTGACTCTAGCTCTTAATTCTGTCTCACAGAAGCTAGCTTAATATAAATACTGACATTTGCAAACGGTTGTCAACATCTTTAGTTGTGAGCTTAATAATTTTTTATTTCCTTTTATATGTTATGATTTCTTATTGTAATTGGTTATGTTTTTTTTTTGCAGTCAAGAATCTGAATCAAACTACTACACGCAAGGTTACTAAACTATTTACACAAACTGAAGCGACCACAGAGAGACTAACCACAAATCGTACGTAATACGTTAATTACGGTAGAAAATTGTTTTATATGACTAATATATACATTTACAAAAATTTTACATAATTTAAAAAGCTGTAAATATGTTTAAGCTCTTCGATAAAACTTCATATGGAAGAATGATGCTGATTATTGTTGTTATTATTATTGTTAATATCGTTAGTATTATTGTTGTTATTATTATTATTATTATTGCAAAATACTTTAGTCAATGTAGTGCATCAATGAATAAATAACAACAGAATTCACATAGTTACGGTATTTGATCAGAACAGTCTCCTGAAGTCGTTAACTATATTGTATGTTGTACCATTTTGCTTCTATTTTTTATATCAGTTTATATAATGTTATTGCTAAAATGAAATTGGATTTTATTTTATTTATTGTAAATGCATTTAAAATACAAAAAGATAAGAAATAATCATAACTGATCATATCATAAAGGGGCATATAATAATAAAACAATGAATATACCGTAAATTTATGTAGAACAGAAAAGTATCTTGATTCTTATATATTTACTTATTTCTCCATAATAGGCCTAAATAATACTATTTAACATAATTAATCCTACTGTCTCATTTGCTAAAGTGTAAACGTAATCAGATTTCGTCAATGACCCCCAAATATTCTGTCAGCAAAATGGTTAAAATTAATAATAATAATAATTGTCGCTCATATACTTTTATGCATTATCTTTGTTCAATTTGATGATGTATTTCATTTGTATTTTTTTGGTGTAATTTAGCTTGTGATGAGGCCATCGGTATGGAGAGTGGCTACATTCCTGACAGTGCCATTGAGTACTCATCCAATTTAGGTGGAGCTGGACGATTCAGACACGAAGGCTCGTGGTTGCCTGTACCAGAAGACACTCTTCGTTTTGTTTCAGTGTCTTTCCCTGTTGTGGTCGAGGTCACAGGTGTAATTTTTCAAAAGGGCCTAAGTGGTTATGTCCGTGAGTTTACTGTCTTCTATATTGATGCAAATGATGAACTCCTTTCCATTTTGGACGATGATCAAAATGATAAGGTGAGGTTCCAGAAAAAGAATTGTTATTTATTTCTGTTCCATACACAAATTAAAAGGTATGTTAATATCTTGTGTACATTTTAGTTTTACTTAATATTAAACACGGCTCCCTCCAATAATCATGGGAAATCCAGAAAACTTCCATAGAAAATGTATTGTGTTGGGCCATTTGAAATTGTAAGTAAAGTTATGCTGAAAATATGTAGGTAAACAATAAAATAAGCTCGGTTGATTTTCGTATTTAATTTATTGAAAATGATTGGCTATAACAAGGATACACTAGACTAAACTTTCGCTTACGATCTTCGAAGTTTATTCAAAGAATTAAAAAAAAATAGATAAAAAAATAAAAGTAAAATGCATTTGTGTAGTATAATGGTAAATCTTGGCTCTCAAAGTAAACAACAGCAGTGATTATCAACGAATCCCGTCAATGACGGCCATGTGTTTTCAGAAAAAGACGGCGACTACAACAATTCAGCTACCGAAACATTCAATGATTGTACTGTAGACCTACATCGTCTTCTAATTTTATTTATTTTACTTGGAGCTATATATGACTATATATATAAAACTATATATATATGTATATTATATATATATATATATATATATATATATATATGTATATAGCATACATAAACACAAAAAATATAATAATAATATTAGTTTTACGTTAACAATTCTTTATTTAAATAGTTTTTTCTCATCCGTTTTCTGTTATTTTTACATGTATTGTCATTTTACAATCAGGTTTTCAATCCTGAGTACAGTAATGACGGTATTGCTGAAGTTGAATTTCCAGAAATGCTAAATCTTAGACGTATTACCATCAAAGTAGGAGCATTTGAAGACGCCGTCGATCTTCGCTTTGAGCTTATTGGCTGTCCATATGGTAAATTTAAGCTTTAGTTTTATAAGTATAACAGAGAGTAAATGATATGAATGAGTACATTTTTATAGTGCTTTTTATTATAGTTTCTAATGTATGTATACTATTTATGTAAGGGTGTACAATATTACTTAATATCAAAATACTATGATATGATGATACACATAATATTGATCATTCATATTTCTATGCGTGATGTTATGACTCTGTGTTGAGCTCCACATAGCGTAAATAGATATCCACTTTAAATGAGAGACGTTTAATTTGATAATAAATTGCTTTAATTCCAGAGAACCCAACAACTACTGAATATCCATCAACAACAATGCCGGTAACAACCGAGCAACTGACAACCACAACAAAGGTAACTACGAGACGATATACACCAACAGAACATCCAACAACGACGAAACCGACAACAACTGAGCAACCAACAGTAACAACAGAAAAACCACGATGCGTCAGGCAATGTGAAGACGGCACCATGATTCCAAATGACAGTCTGATCTGTAATGGAGTCTGGAATTGTCCTGATGGCGCAGATGAACAAAATTGTGGAGGTATGTTTCTTAACCACTGTTGTAGGACCTATTATCAAAACATTATCATGTGAATTAGTTTCTTCGAGATGTCTGAATTTTGTTTCCTAAGTTATCATGATATTGGTCTATAGGGTATCATACTATAGTTCAATATTTTTTCTATTTTTTTCTGGGTCAGTGCAGGGCCATTGGTTTCTATTGTGGCAAAATAAATTACAAAAGTACGTAATTTCAAGTCGAGTCAATAGAAGAGACCTATCTTATATCTATCTATGGGTAGCAAAAGATTTGGAGGTTGGATGGGGAAGTATCAATTGAAATAAAACCCTTGAATTGAAAAGATTACATACATTTTTAACTTTCAAACAGTTTTCAATTACTTATAGAGGTCATAATATTGGCAGGAAAATATATATATAGATGGTTGTTATTTGAACGACAGTTATTTGGAAAGATTATTTTCGGTATTTTAAATTGAATTTATTGAACTTATTTATTTAAAAAGTTAGGATTTACGTAGCAGAATATCTTTGAAAAAATGGTGACTTTAATATTAAGATTTATTGATTACAGGTTCGGAAACAACTACAATAGCATCTACTACTGCTAATATTCCACAAACAACCAAGTACCCTCGTAAGTATGCTAAGAGCACTTTTAACCCCTTTTTATGATGAGTATTCTATTCATATTAAAATGTTTAACATCATGAGCTCGTTATTATAATAGTGACAGTAACCTAGTCCGGCGAGTTTAATGGCCGAGCGGTTAAGGCAGGGCCGCCGCGTAACATACAGTCATAATACCAGCACTGGTTCAAACGGCATACTCGCCTATGTTTCTGGAAACAAGTTTTCTCAGATAAGGACTATAAACCGTAGGTTCAGTGTAAACAATGGCTCAAATGGCAGTACATCTTTCGAGACGAGACGAGTAGGGGGTTACCCTGGAGTACTGGTTTATACAGCCCCTGTTGTGGACAGACGAGAGATAACCAGTACCGTAAGTAAAGCTTAAGAGATAAAAAATTACAAAAACTTACCCTACATACAAAAGACGACGAGACATCAACATTCTCAAATAAAAAAAATACTGAAACTAATTATTATCTAAAATTTTCTTCACAGGTTGTCCAGCAACATGTGACTACGAAGTCACATGCCAGGAGATTGGTGATATGGTATCTGGCCAAAGCTGGAACCAAAATTTAAACATACTACCAAGATTTGAATGCTTCAATAGTTATCAATGTAGTTGTGTCGCTGGTGCTGAGCGTGATTCTCCAAACAACCCAAATTTTTCAGTTCTCATTGGATTTAATTCTGGTAATACAGGATTATGTGTTAGTCGTGAAGAGACGGACTGCGGAGGAAATTGTATATTAGATGCTGACACCATTATTGATGTAAGTTTATTTAGTGATAGAAACATTTTAATAGATTTATGGTCATTAAGACACTTTCTCTTCTCTTCAATCCCAGGGTTGATAAAGTCACTTAATTAAGGCATCAGATTTTTGACATTCTATAAATTGTTAATTTCTCTCTGTTCTCGTGATTTGGAAAACAATAGTAACAATAATAACAGATTATTTTACACAAAGGTTATTGTGTTTTACTTCTTTATCGATTTTTTTTATAGGAAGGAAATACTGTCACACGCAATGAGTGCGAAGTTTGCGAATGTGTGTATGATGCTAATGTTGACAAACTTGTTGCCCAGTGCAGCAAGCAGTGTGATTTAACAAAGAAAGACTGCTCTCAGGTTAGTCTTATTTAGTATTGGAGAGGTTATTCATAAGCACAAGACTAAAAATAAAAAATTCAAAATAGCTCATATTGCTGATATTAAAATCTCAAAAGTGAATAATATTGCAAAACAGATTAGAATCAACAAATAAAAGACACAAACATGGGCAAGACATTAAAGCATAAATGTAAAATATACAGGAGAGAAATGCATAACGAATAAAATATATATGATATTTTACAAAAAAAAACCAGAAATACATCCAGTATCAAACCCATAACAATAACGATATGGTGATCAATTCAAACAATATAAAAATGATATTCAATTTCGTCTAACTTAAAATGATAACAAAGTCATATAATCAAAAGAAATCTGTAAGCCTCCGACAGTACAAATAATGCAGATTCAGATATATTTATTCGGATAATGAATGATTGCTATTTTCATTAATTTGGCAAACAATTTTATTTGGCAAATTTGTGTTTATTCTATTTGACAGCAAGGAATGGTTTTGTATGCGCCTGTGGGAGAATGTTGCAGATGTGTTGAACAACAAGCAACCGAGCCACCATTTACAGGTATTATTGATTATAGGTGTTCAGTTGCCAAACGTAATAATTACCTCATGATGATGTGCACGTTGAATCGTTTAGATCCTGTCAGATCTGTTGGTTCCTGGTTGAAATTTTATTGCTACCCTCCTTGTGTTTCAACTGAATGGCTTAATAGGCCTAGTGTACCTTTTCCAAATAGGATGTTTAAGCCATTGTCCACATGTGCAATATGGCCCGTGTGCATGTTATAACGCAATAAACCTTAGAAGAGTACGGTAGGAGATTATTACTATTATTATTATTATTATTATTATTATTATTATTATTATTATTATTATTATTATTAATTTTTATTATTATTATATATTATTTTATTATTTATTTATATATATTATTTTATTTCTATTTTATTATATTTATTATTCTATTTATTTTTTCTATGTTTCCTATTTATTATTTTATTTGTTTTTCAACATGAATTTAATTTACACGTAATAATGATCATAGATAGAGGATTTTTCAGTTTGAGGTCACACACACCTAACCTAGTTTAACCAGAAGACCGAAACCAAAAACCAGTATATATATTGTGCATAACTTCATTTTCAAGAAAATTATATTATTATATACAGGCGCCTCGACTACGGCAAATACTGGTGCCTCGACTACAGCTAATTTTCCACAAACAACCATGTATTATCGTGAGTATACTTTGATATATTGAATTAGGAGATTTAAGATCGAGGTGCTACTGGTGCCCTGAAAATTATTTTCATACCACCATCAAAAACACGGCCTTATATATTTCTGCCATTTTCTGTTCTTTCTGTATACAATACAAAATTACTCTCAATAGCCATTATCATGTATTTACGTAATATTAAACCTCAACATGAGAGCACTTATTAAAACATTTTACAAATTGGATGATTTGGTGGATAGTTTATTCACTTAGACATGAATTATCTTGCAATCGACCTATATTAGTGGCAAATAAATAAATGAGCTATAATTTGAAATGTTTGGTGAAAAGTAATACTGTATATTAAGGTTTATTTAGATCTGTGAATTTTTAATATTACTACTGTATTAGTTTATTGGGCAGTATTATGAAGAAGAGATTTGGACATGTCAAGTATTGGAATGTTTATTGTGTATATTTTCTGTACTAAAACTTCTCATCACATGATATTGCCTACAGGAATTGGCAACATAGAGCGTCTATCGTCATTATGCAACACTGGTTATTCTTGTTAAATATAATCAGAAACTTGTTTGTCTCTATAGCCTCTATGTGTGTACGTAATAACCAGACATACGCCGAAGGTGAATATTACGTTGCTGCATGTCAGCAGTGCACTTGTGTGGAGAAAAGCACCAATAACTATGCTTGGTCATGCCAGACGCTCCTAGGCTGTTCTAACGAACCATGTGTAGTAAGTAAAGCAAAACAAAGCAACAATTCTGTGATTTACCTTACTTTAATTTGGTTGATTAATGTACAAAATAGTTAAATCATTTGATATTATCAATCTCAATGCAATATAATGTATTTATTTTGTACCACCAATACGTTTTAATACTCTTAATATTCCGTGTATAACCGCATTTATTACCGTATTTAGTATGGTTTTAGCAACGCCAAAACAAATTACATTTTTCACTTGTTTATTCGATGGCGCTAAAATTTCATTGAATTCTTTATATGAAAAACACTGTAAACTAAAACTGATACCATAATTTGCATTGATAAATAAAACACATTGTTCACATTAAGATTAGAATTCGAGGTCCTCTAATTACCCTATGCTTTGCCATCTTGTATATAATTCTAATGTGACATTTTTAAATTTATTTTTGTAGTAAGGACGCATTTTTTAAGTCATTGCTTAATTCATTGATATTTATATTCAAATTCTGTTGGGGAACAGTACGGTTTTCTTGAACAACTATTGTGTATCGGGTCTGGTGTTTATCTAAAACAATAGCTTATTCATGGTATAATTATTTTATATTTTAGGAGGGAACTAAACTGGAGATTGTGGACAACTGCAAAACATGTAAATGTAATCCATTAACGAGAATGTATGATCTAGACTGTGTTGACAATTGCGACCTTACTTGTAACGAGGTATGAACAGTTTCCATGCATAATTTCTTTAGGTTTTGCATTATTTTTGTATATTATGTTTCGGTCTTACTATGTGATAAAAAAATACTAACATCACTTCTATGTGGATCTATGGCAACATAAATTGGTTGAAAGTGAATTAAAATGAACTAAAATTGATTTGCGTTTATTATAAGAACGAATGAATCTGGGACCTATTAGGTCAGATACTAAAAACACAAGATAAAACTCCCCACAGATAAAAACTGTATCACGATCAGAGTAATGTGTGGATATGAGACCATTCAAAGGCAAATGTCCGAGGCCAGACGTACTAAAAATCTATCTATCTGAATGAAACTTTCTGGAAAGTTTAACCAAGTTACAAAGAAGAAATTATTAAATGGCGATGATCTAGATTCCGATAGGAATTTGAAGGCCATTTAAAGTGCTAACGTCCCAGACTTAAAAAAAATATTTAGTATTTTTATTTTCCTTGTGTTTTTTACTTCGTACTTTTAAATGACTTTTTTTGTTGCAATTTCAACATCATTTTTCTTTATGGCAACGAGGAAGAGCCAGCCCTATGTTCTGTTGCACTAGCAGACATAGTATGTCTAGTTATTTTTACTACTGTTCCATTGGGTTAATTGAAGGCACTACGTTATATAAGGGACGAATTGAAGGCCCTAATGAACATCTTCGAAATATAATTATATATATATATATATATATATATATGAAATTATATATATATATATATATATATATAATTTTTTTTCAACCACTTTATTAAAAAGGATAAAACATTCAGACAAAACCTAGGTCACAAGCTTACCCTGCAAAGCAGGAGGCAAGGCAAGGTAACGAAAACATAAGGACAAAGACAAAAAAGGTTTAAACATCATAAAATCAGCAACGGTTTAAAATAATTTTTTCAAGTTACATCGTTACGAGGATACATCATGCAGGATATTTTTATAATTCAGGTGTCATATATCATGAGTTTTGTTTTTTCAAAATAATAAGATAGAGGTGGTGGGGACCAATTTGTAAATTTCCTAATTGCTGTTCTACAAAGGTCCTCCATGATGTATCCCGTCGCACTCTTTGAAATGTTTTTTCCACATAGTATGTCTAGACTTCCCTTAATATCGCTTTCTACTGAGTATAAATATATAATATATTTAATCATTATTTGTTTTTAAGAATGAAGAGTTGGTAAGAGGGGAAGACTTTTGTTGCTATTGCAGTAAGTACAACTCAAACGTAATTTAAGATATGAAAACATGCATTATATATTATAGCCATTGTTAATTACACAATACACGAACAGGTATGTACAGTACAGGTAAAATTATGTGTTTTTAATATACTATCTATATTGTAATATTTTCAATATCAAAACGAAGTTTATCAACTTCAAATGACATATCTTTTTATTTATACAGCCAGTTTAATTAAGCATCTATGCAAAGAGTGTGAGCCCTATATATAATTGATGCATCTGATATTTGGCTTACAAAAATATATTCTCGTTCTAAATATCAATTAAAATCTAAAAACTTGACCAAAGATACAGAATGAGAAAATTAAATATTAATTTGTTGCTCAAAACAGAAAAGCACCGTATCTTTGGTATAGGCTTATATGTATTGAGCGTGAAGGAAATTATTTTATTTCTAAGACTGATATTTTACAGATTCTGAAACAACAACACAAGCACCAGTTGCTTCTACTACTGCTAATGTTCCACGAACAACCAAGTATCCTCGTAAGTATGCTAAAATACTTTGAATGAAGTTGACTTTCAAATATGGCAGTAGCATATAGATACTCCTTTTGGCAGATCTCATATATTAACCTCTATTGACCTGCCTTGTCTTCTGAATCATTAAACTGTGTTCTCGTAAGTTTATACTTGATTTCTCCATGGAGAATAGTGAATGTGTACTTATATCACTGAGGCCGTTACGCGCATTAACTTGAAAACCTGTAACATGTCGCCACGTAGACGTCTAAAGGCAAGAGTTGGTAAATTCAACTTTTTAAGGCGGGTTTTATCCATAAAAACCATAATCTTGTCACCTAGGATAGCTTCCATCAATTTACATGGCACTGCATTAAGCTCATACATTTGTGGTTTTCATGTGATGATATTTTCACTTTAAAAAAATTGCAGTAACATCAGTCGTTATCCACTCATATGGAACTGTACCTTCTCTTAATGACTTATTCAAAATCTTCGTAAGTGGTTCTGCAATTTCATTTGCTAATTCTTTCAGGATACGAGGGTGTATACTATCCGGACCTTGTGATTTTGAAGCATTATATCTCTTATGCAAACATTGTCTTCTTTGTAGATTATAGCTAGTTTATGCCTCTGGCCTGTAACCAACTTACTAAATAAAAATGACTTAATGTTAAAAAATGAAAAAGTATATATGTTTTGATTATTTTAAAAAGTGTTTGCATTACGCAATATTTATATTGTTAAGAATTTTAGACTTAACTGTATATTTTTGATAGGTCTATCTTGAGAGTAAAAGTTATTGAGCAGATCTTTCAAGGTCCGCTTATTTCTTGGCTTTACCAGGCCTATCCAAAAAATGTACACCAATCAATTGATGACATCTATTGAATAAATAAATAAAAATAATATAAGTAATCTTTCTTCACAGGTTGTTCAGCAACATGTGACTACGAAGTCACATGCCAGGAGATTGGTGAGATGGTATCTGGCCAAAGCTGGAACCAAAATTTAAACATACTACCAAGATTTGAATGCTTCAATAATAATCAATGTAGTTGTGCCCCTGGTGCTGAGCGTGATGCTCCAAACAACCCAAATTTTTCAGCTCTCATTGGATTTAGTTCTGGTAATACAGGACTGTGTGTTAGTCGTGAAGAGACGGACTGCGGAGGAAATTGTATATTAGATGCTGAAACCATTATTGATGTAAGTTTATTAAGTGATACTGATATTTAAATGGATTGCTGGTCATTAGGATGCTTTCCCCTCAATCTCAGAGTTGACTTTTTTTACGTCATTCTCCATGAAGCCACTTAATTCTTAAAGGTTGCTGCCATTACTGTATATACAT